GGGACCATGCAGAAGGCATCATCACTCCCCGTCACACTCCATTGATGAAAGCTGCTCACATGGCGCCCTCTAGGGCAGTCACCTCTCAGGAGCAACACTGCTGTATACAAAGAGAAGCATGAGTTTGAGGACACAGTGTGATGATGTCTCTGCCACAGAATAGCATCGAAAGGCCTCAAGGCACCTCACAAGAAGATTCAGCATGCAGAGAAGCTGGTAGAAGCTGGAGAGAGTCCCTGTCACTGGGCCATGACTATAGCTCTCTTTCACAGGGGAGCAGGAGGCAGGGTTGTGGCTGAGGAGGCAGCTGTTGAAGGCACACAGATACTGTGGTGATATCTGCCAGGCCTTCAGCCCGCCTCCGTCTTCCTGTGTTCAGAGGCTGTCGGTACAACTGCCTACCTGGGTAGCAGCCAATGAAATCCTTGAAAAAGACTTTCTTCGCAGGTGGGAAAGAAAGCTACAGTTCAGCAGTGTCCTTCCAGCATTTCAGGAGGACATCTGGCAAAGTGGAGGGGGAATGTTAAACACAGAGTTCCCCAAACACACAAAGACTAACAGTTCTGGAGAAACACAGATATTGTTAGAAACAATATGTTAAAATGTTTTATTATTTAGTTACATCTTGCCTGAGCATGAAAAAGATATTAACAGACTGTCAGCTTACTGGGACATAACCCAAAATAACTTACATTTTTCATATATTGCTAATTGTTTTTCTGAGGCTGGCTCAGGCTGGCGAAAGAGATTTCAAGGCTTTCACCAGATTATTTACTTAAAGAAGTTAAGCATGCCATTATCTGTTCCCATGGAAACACAGTAAGACAAGGGACAGAAGGGGAGGTCACTTTGACCATAATTAATATAAAGAATAATAGTTTATATAGAATCTAGTAAAGACTATAACAAGATCCTACAATACCTTAAAGGCTTTTCTTCAGCAGTGCAGTTCAGTCTTTGGATTAATATTTATACACTAGTGTCACTTTGATTGTTTTATTAGTCCAGTGCTAATTTTTGAAGTATAACTACCTTGCCTAGCAAAAGTTTTCCAATATTCTTATTTCATTTTTGATCCAATGATACAATTCCAGTATTCAGAATTTTTCTAAAGTACTAAGCGGAAATGGATGACTGTACTGGCCTCAAGCTTCTTGTGACTGCTCCAGCTCCTCGCCATGTTTTCTCAATCAATACATAAATGGGTAGTTTGTTAACATAATTGATGGTAATCCAGAGGAACCACTAGATTCTGCAGTATGTTTAAAATCACCAAAAAAAAAAAAAAAAAGAATTATGTTCACTCCAGTTTACACGTAAGGTGTCTAATTCTATTCTTCTTTTATTATTGGAAATTGGTAATCCATATGGGGTGTCTCTTAGATATTGTATCTGTTGGTACTTGGTGCACTCCTTAGGAATTTCTACCAAAAGATTCACACTGTACTTTTTAAAAAATCCTTATGCTTGTTTGGATAGTGGACTTGTTGTGCAGTCTCATAAGGTAAATTTTACCATAGAAGCTTGATGACACGTTTTTCAAAACTCTTTAGTATAGTATTCCAGAAAGAACTAACGAGAAAAGAGAGAAATAAAAGAGTTGCCCTTTCCAATTTCTGAATTTTTAACACACTGAGAAGTTATATTAAGTCAGAAATTAATTAGGATTTTTTTCTGTGAGAGCTCTGGCCCAAGAAACATAGTGTAGCCTCTTCCAGGCAGCCTTGTCTGAGGAATAGGTTCAGGGCTGCAGTATGGCACTGAGTGATGTTTACAGACAGGTGGCCTGAAGCTAAGTGGAGTCAGTATAAAACGTCTCACCCCTTTGAAGATAAACTACTTGCTGCCACATGAGTAACAAAATTTTTTTTTGTAAAAATCAAGCTTGAAATCATTTAATCAGGAATGTAAATCAGTTATATGCCCCAATTATAAAAATGTTGATGAAGTTTGCTATGGTATTGATTTTTTTTTTATTTTGGTGGAAGAATTACAGCTGTTGTGTGTCGTGTATATATATAATCATATTGCATTCTATTCCAGGAATGCAAACAGTATTATATCCTGCTTGGCAGGCACTCTGGTCACTTGACTTAGCCAAGAATAAGAACTCTCAGAAGTGCCATTCCATAGGTTTATAAGAGATCCCCTAAAATAATGGATGGTACACTTCCTATATGTATTTATGTTCAGATAATTTATTTAAATAATGCTGCTGGCACATGCTTTATAGCTGCTTACATTTTGCTACACAGATTTCAGCATATCTTGCAGACTATGCAATTCATTTGGAAAAATGTAATTTCCATCCCTGCATACTAATCGATTTCTTCACAAACACCTGCTATCAGTTATGATAATAAAAATGCCACTCTGAATTGAAAAAGGGCCAAATAGAGCTTCCTAAGGAAATGACTTAAGTGTCTTTGAATGCTACTAAATGTAGTAATGTGCCTGTGTAGTGCCAACACTTTTTTCATCATTTGCATTTTCTGTTATTTTGCCCTATTACAACATCCCTCTCACAAATGATTCCTCATAACCATTTCCTTATGGCTCGGTAAACGAAGCTGTCAGGCGGTGGTATCTCAGGGTGTGGACAGGATCCGTAGTTAGGCTGCATAATGTTAAAAAGCACTGGCTCATGCTGCTGGGTACGTGCTGGATAATTTCTGATTTTATGACTAAGTCCCTAAAAACTGTAAAAGTGCCTGCTACTTGGTTTTGTACACACATACACCAAATAAAATCTCCTTTATTCATTCTCTTCAGCCTTCAGTTCATTCCATGCACCACTGCCAAACTAATGTTCCTAAATCCCATTTGCATCATGTCCTTCCACTACCCCACGCACTGGCAGTGGTTCGCAATTGGCCGCTCCGTTGAACCCAACCTTCCCCATCTTCTCCCATCACCTGACAGGGATCACCTTTCTCTCACTGCTTCCAGGCAAACACTTGCCCTTTTGGTCAGCTTTCTCTCCGTCTGGCCCCAAGGATTCTACCTTTGATTTTCATCTCCGGGCTTTTGCCTGTGCTCTGGCTCCTGACTGAGAGACAGCCTTCCCAAGTTCTTTGGTTTTTCATCTTTCAAAGCCCTCTTTTATTCCTTCAGTCTGAATTTTTCTTTCTCTTCTCTGAACTCCTATAGGATACATTTTTTTTTTCATGTCTCTTGACTCATTTATTTATTCATTCAACCAGCATTTATTGAGTGCCTAATGTATTCCAGACATCACACCATTCTTTCTTCCTTTGAAAGCAATAATTTCTTTTTAAATGTGTCAGTTCTTAAGCACTTTGAGAGAAGAGGTATATACTGTCTCCTCTTTTTGTGGTCTGAGATGCCCACACAGACCTGAGCACAGGTAAATATGAAGTAAATGCATGTTAAGTAATTGATCCCTGCTGGCTTGAGGTAGGGGATTTTCTGGGTAATTGCATGTTCTGTTTGATTAGTAGTTCAGTGTGTACTACACAGAGATTATCATTTTGCAAGATGGAATAGTGTAAAACACTCAACTGTAAAGCTATTATTAACATAATTTGACGTTTGATATTTGAGGAGAGAATTCATTGTGGTCTCAGAGCACCTCGGTAAAGCTTTATCACCATGGAACTGTCATGTGCAGGTAGAGCACTCAGGAGGCTGACCTTCATTTGGTCCTCCGACACGGGGAGCAGGGGCTGGAAACGGGCGTGCACTGGGCCTGCACGATGCCTTGACATACTGGAAGTTACATGTGTGAAGTTTCTGATAAGTGTTTCACATTTTCTTTCACTTTCCTCTTGCTTAGCAAATTGGGGAATGGCTTTTCTGTGAGGGGGAAGATTAAAAGGAAACTGATGGGACAGTAGGTGGGGGAATGTGAGACTGGTTTTGAACAGCCTGGTAAGAACTAAACACACATGGACCGATGATAATCGAGAGCAGAGACTCTGGAGCCTGCAGCCTGGGCATGAAGGCTTTCAGCTACTTACTCTGTGGGATTGAACGAGTTATGTAACTTCTCTGTGCCACATTCTTTTCATCTGTAAGGATGGGGATAAGACCAGCACCGGCATCACAGGCTTGATGGGGGAATGAAGTGAGTGAGTTCATACAAATCTCTTGGTCCAGTGCTTTGTGAGTGCTCAGCAGGCTGTGATGATTCCCGGAGAGACCCCTAAGCAATAAGGTGGAAACTAGGAAAAGGGATTCCCTACCCTCAATCTTTGTTTTGTACCATTGGTTCTCTTTTTCAGTTTCGGCTATTTCTGAAGCCTTGAGATGCATGAGACCCTGGGTTAACTGTCTTGGTTTCTTAATAAGATGAATATGTGAATGAAGTCTGAATCTAAACATGGAGAATTTGGGGTTTCAAGGAGAGGTACTGGAGTAACCACTCAGCCTTGCAGAGGAAAAGAGTTTTAATTTGTTGGTGAAACAGATGGAGCTAGGTTCCCATTCTGATAGGAGTTAGAGAAAAACAATCTGTACAATTTGTCCCAGCAGTAAAGCAGGAAGGAATAGTGTGCATATAAATTCCTCCCTCCCCTGGGATGCTGCCGCATGTCTCAACCTGTAGAGCTGCTGATTATTTGAAAGAAAGCAGCCCTCCAAGGAGCTAAGCAATCCTGTAGAAAGGGGGAAGACAGTATTTAGTAGATGTGATTGCCTGGAATTCTGAGTTTTGTCACCATCTAACACCACATACCAATTTCTGTGAGGGCATCTAGCATTGAGGGAGAGGTGAAGGGACAAGAATCTGGGAGGAATTAATCCCTCACCCATAAGAAACATTCATACATAAGACAGGACAAACAGAATAGTTAAAAATTCCAAGACAGGTGATGCATACCGAATACAAAATAGAGAGCACCGGGGTAAGGCATTTTGGCTTTATTTCTGAGCTGGTACAAACATTAAGAATGTGGGTGACAGACTCCTTTTCCCACAGAAGGCCTCCTCAAGCTAATCAAGAAGGTAACTCACTTGCACTCGCTCTGTCTGTCCTTCAGCCCTGGCCGCTCAGGCCTACGCTCTGAAAGAGGAGAATGACAGTCTCCGCTGGCAGCTGGATGCCTACAGGAATGAGGTGGAACTGCTGAAACAAGAGAAAGAACAGCTTTTCCGAACAGAAGAAAACCTCACCAAGGACCAGCAACTGCAGTTCCTGCAGCAAACCATGCAAGGCATGCAGCAGGTACCCGACCCAGGTGGTTTTTTGAGATAAAGGGATATGTGTATTAAATGAAAAGGGAAAGGCAGCTGTGTGCTGGAAAGGGGGAAGAAGAAATCACAACCCAAAAGGTACGCTCCTAGGAAAGAAAAGTGCTAATGACTATTTGTGGAAGGGTAGAATCTGGAGAAAAGCTAAGCCAATAAAATACGTTGAAGAAATCACCCCGGAGGTAGGAAATATAGGAAAATGATTTGGATTTAGGAGATTGAAAGGCTGTATGTGAAATATAGCCCCATGGCAAACATCTAGCAGATCCCTGCCGATCATGATACAAGCGTTTTGTAATCTTAGAACTTTTAAGTTCAAAGCATGCCAACTGATTTTACAAAAGCAGTTTGTCTGTCTTCAAGGTTAGTATAAATGTAAACTACATTGTTTTCACTTTTCCTATGCTACACTTAGGATCTAGTCAGGTGCTACGAGCACATTACATGTTTAAGAAATGTTTGTTGATGGAGTAGATGAAGCATTCGAATTTTAGGTAACTTTAGAAACAGGGCAATAGCTGTGTTTTTGTTGAAGAGTGCCAGACTTCATCCTGGCATACTGAATTTAAAGATGTGTATTTATGGCAAGTGTGGAAAGGAAATGAAAGTTGAGGGCTTTGGAGTAGGGAAAAGGAGAATGTACTGTGGGAAATAAAATGTTGACAGGAGAGGAAAATCTGACTGTTGGCAATGAGGAAATAGAATCAAAGATTCACAGGCAGATTTGTATCTGAAAACGTCAATTGGTATTTGATGTTCTTAAGGTGTTTGGGCCTTTGAGTCACCTTAAAATAATAGAGCATAAATTACCATCTTGGGTATTTTTTAATTACCCCTCTGAATATACAAATCCAATCAATATTATTTTCTGAAAAAAAAAAAGATTGCTTTTATTTAAAGAAGAGAAATATAAGTAGAATGATGGATGGAAAGTTAGAATATATAGTGAGTCGAATTTTTTTTAATTCCCTCATTCATATTGACTGCTTTGTAACATCCAGAGCATGAATTGCCTGCAGAAGTATCTTAGTGATTAGAGCTAACTACTACAGAAACATCAGCCTAACAGGGAAAAATAATTGAGAGGGAGAGTATAAAAGAGAATCATGGATCGGGAAGTGAGCAAGTTAATGACCAACTCACACAAATTATGTCTTAAACATCTCCTGCCATTTTGAAGCAATTTTTGAGTCTTGGCTTGGAGTCCTAACTGGTTGATGTTCACAGTGTGTGTTAGACTAATCAGTGAGATTCAGAGGTCAGAGCCAGCCAGGAAAATGTCATTACAGTCATTGCTCAGGTCTCTGTACTTGGAAATCGATGTAACAGCTGCTGTGTGAGGCTTCTGGGGTTGTCCATATGCCTCAACATTGGGTGTTTGTCAGTGCCCTTGCCAAGATGAGAGGCTGTCGATTTCCCCAAAGACCATGGCACCAGACCTAGCCCAAAAGCCACTGTGTCACACTTTATACAACTCTCCCTTTTTCCCTCCAGAAACGATTATCCCAATTGCTTTAAAAGTACAGTCTTTTAGGTTATTGCAGAGTCAATCTAAATCTAAAAGAAGTCAGAGAATGCAAGGGTGAGCTGCTCAGTCACGGCTGCAAAAGCACTGAGGAGCCACGTGCCTGATCCACAAAGGAGTAGTGTTTCAGATCACCACCTGAGCCATCCTCCTGAACAAGGGATTCAGTTAATGGAGCTTCTCATGTATTTTCAGAATCTCCTTGTCAGTAGGAAACATACTTTATATAGCTAAAAATGTAGTTGAGGCAGAAATGTATTGTCTCCCAGTTCTGAAGGTTACAAGGCGAAGATCTAGGGTCCAAGAGCAGGGTTGGTTCCTTCTGAGGTTGTAAGGAAGACTCTGACTTCTGCCCCTCTTCCAGATTCTGGAGGCTGGCTGGTAATCTTTGGCCTTCCTTGACTTGTAGGCACATCACCCTGCTCTCTGTCTTCCTTATCCCTTGTCATTCTTGGGGTGGGTGTGTGTGTGTGTCCAAATTTCTTTTTTTTTTTTGAGACGGAGTTTCGCTCTTGTTACCCAGGCTGGAGTGCAATGTGTGATCTCGGCTCACCGCAATCTCTGCCTCCTGGGTTCAGGCAATTCTCCTGCCTCAGCCTCCTGAGTAGCTGGGATTACAGGCACGTGCTCCCATACCCAGCTAATTTTTTGTATTTTTAGTAGAGACAGGGTTTCTCCATGTTGACCAGGATGGTCTCGATCTCTTGACCTCGTGATCCACCCGCCTCAGCCTCCCAAAGTGCTGGGATTACAGGTGTGAGCCACTGCGCCTGGCCCCCAAATTTCTTTTTATAAGAACACAGTTCATATAGGATCAGGGGCCCACTCTGCTCCAGTATGACCTCATCTTAATTACTTATATCTACAAGGACTTATTTCCAGATAAGGTCACATTCTGTGGTAGTAGGGGCTAGGACTTCAACATTTGGATTTGTGGCCGGGGCGGTGGGGCCATAATTCAATCCGTAACAGACACATAGTAGACGGTCAGAATATCTGTGTCAAATGAAGGAATGAATAGACAAAGGCCTGGAGACAAGGCTAGCATGGTGCCGCGGGAGCTCTGGGCTATGCGGGAGCCTAGATCATGAAGAGCAAGGTGGGGAGTGGGAGAGCCAAGGCCCGAGAGGTGTGTGCGGTGCCTCCTTAGCCTGCAGAAAGTGCTTGGTCCCTGGTGGCTGCTGTGGTTTTCATGTTTACTGGTTGTTAGGCGGATGCATGACTATCTCTGTGGCAGAACATCTTTAGCAGAGTTTTAAAATACATGTGCTTTTTAAAGAGTCTTATTTCTATCATGACCTACCATGCGTGAGGAAATTACCACAGTTTGCTTGCCACCGCAAAGAATTAGCCTGGCTTTAAAACCTTCTTTCAGTCTCCCCACTATCTACTTCATAAATCAGAAAATCATGGTTTCACATGAAAGATGACACAGAGAGGAGGGTTCATCATCCCATACATCACCATTTCCACAGTCTACGTTTGTTATTTCTGTAACAAACAACAAAAAAAGAAAGAGCCTTAATGACCGTAGGACTAGCTGATAGCTTTTGGAATTGCCTTCAACCCTTAGCCAGAAAGTTTCTAATCTTTCTTTCTTTAACCCCTTAAGGATATGTTCACTGCATCACAGTCTCTCATGTGTTCATGAAGAAAACATTATGGGCAGGGTTCCTAAAATGGAAAAACCCTTGAGGGACTTTGGATGTTTCCGAGTTTACTCCTGGACCATGTGAATCACAATTTAATAATATTAAATGCTTCATACAAAAGAGAATAAGAGCTTATATCCATGGTAACACAGTAGCCTTTACCTGATCATAAGCTGATGGTGAAGTATACCTGTCTCTGCTGCAGGGATAGTGAGGCTTTTGACTTTCATTTGTACCTTTAGGTATACAAGCAAAGAATATACATATTTTAAACTCTTATTTTTCTTCATGTTACCACACTGGTTTATTGATGTAAAATTTATATACAATGAAACATATTCTTTTTAGGCATACGTTCTATGAAGTTTGACAAATGCATACAGTCACATCACCACCTCTACTACAATCAATATGTAAATCAGTTCCATCACTCATTCCCTTATGCCCCTTTTGAGTCAGCCCCACTCCCAGCAACCACTGCTGTTTTCTATCCTTATAGTTTTTCTTTTTCTAAAATATCATATAATTGAACAGTATGCAATTATATGACATTCTAGAACAGTATCGAACAGTATGCAACCTGTTGAGTTGGGCTTCTTTCCTTTAGCATAATAAGCGTGAGACTGCTCTTGTTGCTGTACATATCAGGTGTTCATTCCATCTGATGCTGAGTAGTATTCCACCGTAAGAAAGAGCTGTGGTTTGTTTATCCAGTCAATAGTTAGTGGATGGATACTTCCCAATTTGGGACAAATAGGAATACATCTGATGCAAACATTCACTTACAAGCTTTTTGTTTAGACCTAATTTTTCATCTTACTTGAGCAAATCCTAGGACTATAATTCCTGGGTCATATGCCAAGTGTGTTTAACTTTTGGAGAAACTGCCAAACTTTTTTCCCCAGCGTCTGTACCATCATACATTCCCTCGGGACCATATGCAAACTCCAGTTCTGCATCCGCATCAGGCAGCACTGACAGGGTCAATTTGTTTTATCTTTTTTTTAACCACTGTTGTAAATTTATAGTGATATCTCATTATGATTTTATTCACACCTACATTTGCAGTAGTATTTTATTTTCATTTGTGAGGATAGGTTAGTATGTAATATTTTTTAATAATCCACTTAAAAATCAGAATTGTTTTTGAAGACTTGTGTAATCATATTGACAAGACTAATAAACATTTGGATAACAGGATATCATTAAAAACTGCTGATCATAAAAGTACATATGACTCATGATGATTATGTCAGAAGGCTCCTTCCTAAGTACTTTAAGTTGATGCTTTTGAATAGCGTTAAATCTAGTCTGAGGACCAGCTGTCTTAGGCCAGCAAGCCATTGGCCCATGTGCAGCAGTGACTCTCTTACACTCTTAGCTTGCCATCAGTAAGGTGCAGGCCTGGTCTGCTGTCTTGACAACTTTCAACAAGGGAATATCAGGGGGAAAAATGGGAAAAGTAGGATTATTATGATCAAAAGCATTTTAGAAGTTAAGTGACAAGTATTTTTTTCCTTTATATTCAAAGTAGAATGTACGTGTGATTTTCTGTGTGTATATTGTAGAAATCTCACCCATTTAGACTAATTTTATGGAAGATGAAGAAATGTAACATTACTACTTCCCTAAAATACAAACTAACCCCAGTTAGTTTTGCCAGAGGTTGAGTAAGAGTCAGACTTTGGAATATCTATTAAGGAATAAATGAAAGTATTTTTGAAATTAAGCATAGTGATTACATCTGACCCCTTGAGTAAGTACAGCATGTCTTCTGCAATCTTGTTTAAACTATTT